CTTACAATGTTAAATGATAACAAAGGAGGAACATTCTTACAGCAACATTTTAAAAATGTTCTCAGGATGTTATTGATGCCCCAGATCACAAAACGCTTTTTACAGAACATTTCTGCAATGTGATATGTAAACAAAGGAATACTGTTTTGCCTACAACATTGGGAGGATATTATGGGGACAATGTTTAGGTAGCAGATTACAGAATGTTATTTCATAAAATGTTCCCACAATCTTAAATGACATCACATTAAGAGCATTTCCACTGTAATATCTGGAAAATGTTTAAATGATGTTATTATGGCCTCATATTGTATTACGTTATTTTTAAAACACTCTTACAATGTTGCATATTGATAACAGAGGAACATTCTTACTGGAATTTGGAAAATGTTTTCAGAATGTTATAAAGACTACATTACATCGCCTTCAATTCTGAGAAATAAAATTGTGTTTTTCAGTTTTTCATAGAAGAATGCTAAAGAAGAACATTGTGTTGTGGATGATAATAGTTGTTTTCTTCTGTAAACTGAAAGAACTTCCAACCTAAAACTCAATTTCTAGAATACTAACTATCCCATCCATCCATTATCTATACTCCACTTAATCCTCACTAGGGTCATGGGGGGCTGGAGTCTATCACAGTTGACTCAGGGCGAAAGCAGGGGACACCCTGGACAGGTCACCAGTCTATCACAGGGCTACACTTAGCAACAGACAACTAAGCACACTCATATTCACACTTACAGACAATTTAGAATCACCAATTAACCTCAACATGTTTTTGGACTGTGTGGGAGGAAGCCAGAGAACCCAGAGAGAACCCACGCTGCACGGGGAGAACATACAAACTCCACGCAGAAAGATCGCGAACCGGCAACCTTCTTGCTGCGAGGCAACAGTGCTACCAACTGCGCCACCTTGCAGCCCAGAATACTGAAATACCATGACATCTGTGAACTTTTAGCTAAACACCCAGACAGCTTTATAGTGGTTGCAGGGGATTGTAACCACACCAGTTTAAGTCTGTACTCGACAAATTCAAGCAATTTCTGGACTTTAAAACCAGAGGAGACAACATGCTGGACTTGGTGTATTCAAACTTCCCTGATGCATACAAAGCAACCCACCGCCCCGACCTCGGCTGCTCTGATCATCTTTCTATTATGCTGGTTCCCACTTACAAACCTCTACTGAAGCATAGCAGGCCAGTAAAAAAAACAAGCCAGGATCTGGCCAGAGGGTTTATCCTCAGCACTTCAAGACTGTTTTATAGACAATGACTGGGAGGTTTTAAAACAGCAGCCTCCCCGGGTGATCAGATGACGTTTAGGAGTATGCTGAGGCAGTAACCAGCTACATCGCCAGGTGTACAGAGGATGTCACTGCCATTAAGACCTTCACAGCAACAACATCAGTGCATCATATTCTAGCAATGTTATCATTTAACGTTTTCAGAGGGTTATTGCAAAATATTTTTGGAATGTTTTTAGAGAACATTATTCCAGAACATTCTGGGAACTCAAAGAAATTTCCCGCTGAAAACATCACAACAATATTTGTGCATCATATTTTAAGGGGGCCAGCTGTGGCTCAGCTGGTAGAGCGGGTTGGTCAATGATCGGAATGTCGGCGGTTCGATTCCTCCCTGTAACCTGTGTCATGGTCGTTATGTCCTTGGGCAAGACACTTCAACCACCTTGCCTGGTATGAATGGATTGTTTGAGGTGGTGGTCAGAGGGGCCGTAGGCGCAGAATGGCAGCTATATGAATCAGATCAATTCTTATTATTATAAATGTTGTCATTTAACGTTTTAAGAGGGTTATTGCAAAACATTTTTGGAATGTTTTTAGGGAACGTGTTCCCGGAACGTTCTCGGAACTTAAAGAAAACCTCCCGCTGAAAACATTGCAACAACGTTCCAGTCAACATTCTAAGAACGTTACAAGAACCAAAAATTTCTAGCTGGGGAGGTGCTGACTGATTTTAAATGAAATGAACTAACTTAGTTTGAGCTTCATCAGTGGAAAATATATAAAAATCAAAACTCATCCAAAGTCTGGCAGCAACTTTAATTACAGCTCTGTAACAAAGAATTGTAACGGAGAGAGTGACAGAGAATCTCCTGTATAAACATTGTTTGGAGCACTGATTGTGTTTCTGGCAGAAAATGATTGTCCAAATCCAAACGACAATAAAAGTCTGTATTGTTTTTTTGGAACCCACAGATAGAACCTACAGCACTGTGTGCACCCTGCTGAGTTGCGTTTTAAGCTGCAGTGGTAATTAATATTTTTTTTTTTACTGTAATGCCCACAGATTGGTTTCACCACAGACCCCAGGATGGCTCGTTCGTCTCCGTACCCCACAGACGTAGCTCGTGTGGTCAACGCACCAATCTTTCATGTCAATGCAGACGACCCAGAGGCTGTGATGTATGTGTGCAACGTAGCAGCCGAGTGGAGGAACACATTCCACAAAGATGTTGTCGTAGACCTGGTAGGTATATATCAACACAGACATATGGCTGTCATCACAAATACTCCCCTAAACTTCTGCGTCTCCACATTCAGGTGTGTTACAGACGTAACGGCCACAACGAGATGGATGAGCCCATGTTCACACAGCCGCTGATGTACAAAAAGATCAAGAAGCAGAAAGGAGTTCTGCAGAAGTTTGCCGAGAAACTCATTGCTGAGGGAGTCATGACAGCACAAGAATATGAGGTAAAGCAACCTGTCGATGGCTGTTTGTGAAGGATGTTAGATGTAGAGAAAAAAGTAACAGCCATTTGTAAAGACTAGTCGAATTCTGACATACAAGTGATTGTGGTTTTCTACCAACGTCTAAATAGGTTACATTTTACATGTTGGGAGCGCAAAAAAATGGACATGGCGCTTTTACCTCAGGCCCTTACCACACAATGTCTGCATATTACACTGAAAGAAAAAGACTTGACTGATTGTGCAGGATGAGTGAGGAAAAAACAGGTTTCACTGTCAGCTGGAGGAAAGCTGTCGCTGGCAGACAATTCTGCTCTGTGAAAACCTGAGGGTTCAACTGCAATGAAAGACGACTGCCATAAAGAAACAAAAGTGTTTTTTAGAGAATTAGGTACAACTTAAAAAACATTTTATTACTTTCAGGATCAGAAACATCGTTTATACAGTTCTTCAGATCTATTTAGAATAACTGTGAGTAGGGTCGGGGCCAAAAATATCACATATCACAAAAAAAACATTATGTTTATTTTTTTGATAATGATGGGTGATGTGACTGATGTGCATGTTGAAACTCGTGCCGTGTAAAGCCTCAAATTTCCACTCAGTTCCTCCAACGCAGCAGCCCATACAGCTGTGAGATGTAAACTGCACAACTGATGGATTAAAACTCACACATGCAAGGACATAGAAACTCTATGATAGTATGGTTCCTATTCAGATACTTAACTTACACCCGTCTGTTTTAGGAGGAAATAACCAGATACGACAAAATCTGTGAGGAAGCGCACACTCGCTCCAAAGATGAGAAAATCTTGCACATCAAACACTGGCTCGACTCACCCTGGCCTGGTAGGACTCCTGCTTTTTTTTTCTAATACGTGTTTTATTGAATAATTTAAGGTGTGACACTACAGAAAAAACAAAATACACATTTGGTGATTATTTTGTTTAGTCTTTGAGACAGTTATGCAAATTAGCCCATATTTAATGAGATTATGCCTATGCATACCGTTTTCAAAACCTGATACAAAAAATAATTGTCTTTACCCACTTCAGGACTTTCATGTTGCCATACGTAGAAGATTTGTCGGGGTCCACTGGACCCCAAGAAAGAATATGTGCAAAATATTTGTTGGTATTCATTGTAGATTTTTGTACTATGTTAAATCATTTTTCTGATAAGTTGATATATTTTTGGTTCCAAATGCATGACAAACGTCCCTCTTTTTATATTTAAAAAATAAATTGATTGTAAACTAAATATATTTGGGTTTTTCACTGCTGCTCAAAAGCAAGACAGATTTTTGTTGTGCTGCGGGAAATGATGCATCAACCAAATTATTAATCTAGAAATGTATCTATTGACTTAATTCATTAATTGCCGTTAATCATTTTGCGGATTAAAAATGTATCATCTGATAGGCCAAAAGATCAAGGATAGGCATATGTTGTAGATTCCCTGCTGTACCTGGTTTTGCCACCAGATGGGGTCTCTTACAGTTTTATACTGCAGCAACCAAGGAGGTGGTCACAGGCAGTTCTGTTTTGACAAGGTGCACATTGTGGGAGTTTAGCTAGAAATGCCACCATGACACAGTCTTCTGTGAAGTGTGTCAGTGGACATGCAGTAATGTCCATTGACCTAATGTTGTGGAATCAACTATTCGATTATTGATGGATAAAGATGATGATTATCAGTTCAGAAATTGGTTTTAAATTCACATCCCTAGACTGGATATTTCTTCAACACATGGAACTGTAATGCTTTTGTGTGTCTTCTGTATATGCAGGTTTTTTCACCTTGGAGGGACAGCCTAAAAGTATGAGCTGCCCTTCAACTGGCATCAGCGAAGACGATCTCAGTCACATTGGAAACATTGCTGCCTCCGTCCCAGAGGAAGATTTCACCATACACGGAGGTGCTCTCCACTCTCTTTGTCTGTCTGCAGTGAAGTTGCTGTCTGGCTGTTTCAAACCTGTTTGTTTTCTGCCTGTGTGTTCATGTTGCAGGTCTGAGTCGCATCCTAAAGGGACGAGCGAACATGGTGAGCCAGCGAGTGTGTGACTGGGCTCTGGGGGAGTACATGGCGTTTGGCTCACTGCTTAAAGAGCGAATCCATGTACGTCTCAGCGGCCAGGATGTGGAGAGGGGCACGTTCAGGTAATGCATAATTCTAGTAAGAAAAATCAGCTGCTTGTGTTTTCTTCTTTTTTTTTTTTTGTTTTTTTAATGGCTAAGTGGGGACACTGGATGTCAAATACTGGGTTTTAATTTTGGGTTTTGGCTATGCACACAGTTTATGTGAGTACTTATGCAGCATAATGTTGAAAAGTTGAGATTCTTGTGATGCAAACTAGTT